CCCAGTGCCGAGAGCGGGAGGCACAAACTCCCCCCAGCGCTCCATCGCCTCTCTTAGGCGCTCGAGTTATTTTCCGAGCTCAGCTGTTCGCGCCCTTCATTCCCGGACGCCCGCCTGTCGGGCGGGAAGGCAGGTGGCCCTGTGTGAGCCCGCCCGCCTTAGCAACCCCTAAGCCCCGTGCCTTACCCAGAACTTCCCAGAGCCGCACAAGGCGTCCATGGGGATGAGGCGCGCGGGCGAGGAAGGCGTTCGCGCTCTGCCCTGCTCAGGCAGAGCCGGCGAGTGGAGCCGCCTCTGTTCTCCGTGCTCCGCCCCCGGCCCGCCTCCCTGTGGTCGACCCGCTGAGCCCTCTGGGTCTGGCTCTGGATCCCGGCCAGTTGCGACAGTGCCTCCACCAAACCGCACCGCTGGGAGGGTCTTTGGGGCAGAGGTGGGGGGGGTCATAAACACAGTGACAGCCCCTTGGAGTGACCTCTTTGAAATGACCCTCTAGACACTGGGGCTGACAGGCCCAGAGCAGAGTCTGTTTCTCAGGACGATCTTGGGGAGCACAAGTGCTCTTACCCCATTCCTGGGGGCCCAACAAGCCAGGGAGGCATGGGGAGGGACTTAGCAATCCTCCCTGGGTAAAAGAAATCCTTGATAAGATCGGTTCATCTCAGGAGCTCAGCTTCCTCATATGTAAAATGGGAAGAGTTTCTGTGCCAGACAATCTGGAAGGCTACCTCTCCCCGTGAGTCGCCAGAGACAACCGGCAGATACCAACACATTGTGAACTGGTGTGTGCTTGTGCGTGGGTGTAGCCCCGGAGGGGAGGACAGGGGTAGCCTGCTGGGGTCCTCTTACACAGATGCCTTCTGGGCCAACTGGTGGCATGGTGGTTAAGGCTCTGGATCCCACATGGCCTACTGTGCAGTTCCAGTCCTGGACCCAGTGGCTGGAGAAACATTCAGGGTGTGTGTGTGCGCACGTGCATGTCCAAAATGCCCAGAGGAGGGCGAGATGGAGGGGAAGGGACTGTGGGGTGAGCATCCCCTGTGGAGCGTGCTTTTTCATCCCCCCACCTCCTGTGTATGCATGTGCTCCTCTTTGGTGAATTAAGACTGAGACTTCACATTCCCCCTCTGTAAAATGGGTTCGTGGTCAGTGGCCTCCTCCTCTTGCTTGGCCTAGCTTGGCCATGCTGAGATTCCCTCCACCTCTGGCTCCTCCACTCTTCTGTAACAGGGTCCCCAAAACCCTTCTTGGGGCCAAGAAGGAATTCTCCCTGGATAGCGCTTTCCCCGGCCCTATCTCTGCCCTGCCCTGCCCCTGCCTGCAAAGTCTATCTAGTTTCACCCTGGTGATCCCTTGCCTGGCTCATGTTCTCAGGAGAAGGTGTTTCCCTGCTTGGCTGCTTGGTCAGTGGCAGGTGTGGGGGGAAGCCAGCAAGATAGTGCAGAAATGGCCTGCCACCTCCTGTCCCTTTGGGCTGTCAGGAAGTCACCAGAGAGGGAGTCTCCCCTACTACGGGCTATGGGAACAGAGGTCCGAGCAGGTACGGGATGGAGATGAAAGTGAGCTGGACAAGGCTCCCCCTCCCCAGGCAGTTGATCTGGGGACCTCTGCCCTCACTGGGTGAGTCTTCTCAGCTCTTGGCCTGCCCTTTGCGCTCCCCTCACCCACTCACCCCTCCCCTCCCCTCCCCGTGCCCCACCCCTCCCCTTACTAAGCCTTCACACCTGTCACAGTATGAGTAGGGTGTATTTGGTCAAGACTCTGTCTTCCCTGACAGTCTGAGAGTCCCCAAGGGCAAGGATCGGCCTAGTGGCCTAGTCACCTCCAGTCCCCCTTCATGCCTCGGGCAGTGCCTTTGTATACAGTGTGACCTCACAAGCTCTTGGACAGGGTGCCATCTAAACTTCCAGCCCCGGTGGTGGCCCAGGCTTCTGTGGTCCCAGCTGCTACAGTTCTTCCTCCAGCCTCCCCCTGACCCCAGCCATGGCTTCAGCCGCACCCTCGGCCGACCTGCCAGGGTCCTCTGGCTCTCTCTCCTCGCCCATTGCTGCTCTAAGGCTCATGGGTAACAGGCACCAGGCAAGTCAGGAGGGCAGGCTCTGGGCTTGGGGAGGCCTGGGAACTTTCCTTCAGAGCCCTTTGGGAGGCAAGCTCCTCAAGCACACCCCCCTCTTGAGATGGGGAATCCAGAACCAGCATGGGCTCCCATCTGGGATTTTCTAGCCCCATGGTTCTGGCCAGGTCATCTGCTTAGGGGTGGAGTTTGGGGCCAGGACCCTTGGATTCCGGCTTCAGCATTAGGCCTGGAGCACCGTCCCCATTGGCTCCAGCCTTCTTGCCTGGCCATCAGAGAGCCCTTCCCGTCCATCAGAGAGTACTGGGTGGGAGACTCTGAGGTCCTGGTCAGGGCCCTGGACGGTCCTCACCTTCCCTCCATCTCTCATGAGGTACTGAGGCTTCGCCCTTCCTGGCCACCCAGAGAATGTGGCCCCTTCCCTACAGCCCTTCAACGATAACCATGGTATTTCTAGGGTATCATTACTGTGGTTCTCACCAGAGCAAGAATTCGAGCCTCCGAGACACCCCACTCCTAGACTCCTCTTTGTCTAGGGCCACGGAGCTTATCCTAGCCCAGGCGGGCCACGCCCACATCTCAGGGATGCTGCGTCCTTGGGCAGGACGGGGTTGTTGCACCTGCACCAGCAGCAGGAGGACTCATGCCTCCCAGCCCACCTTTGAGGGTGCGTAACACATTCTCCCCTCTCCTCCCTATCCCTTTCTGCACCTTTCTGCACGTGTCCTCCAAGATTTGCTCACCCTCAAGCCTCCTGGGCCCCTCCCCCAATGCTGGGCTAGGGACCCTTCCTCTGCACACCCCCACCAGTCATCTTGCTTATCTTCCCCAGAGGACTGGACACCTTGACAACAGAGACCTTTTATTGGTCTCTTTTATTACTGTATCCTCAGCACCCAGCAGAGTGCCTGGCAAAGTTGGTCTGCAAGAAGTGTTTGTTGACTGGTTAAACAAACACCTCATTTTCAAAGAAGAGGTCAAAGATAGTGAGATC